GTTAGCTATTTGGGCTTGGTCAATGATGGAGTTTGAAATATCACACTTAGGTTGTGTTTAATTACGAACATGAAGTTTGTATGGAAAGAAAATAAATTTCAGGCAATTCAATTGCCTGGAACTTATTTGTATAGAAATTATTAATTAAATGCGTTTGATTAATTTAATTTTCAACCTAGAAAATATTATACTTATTCATTTTTTTATTAATGAATAGATGAGAAAAATGAGACAGATGAGAAAGAGAGATAGTGACTTATTTGAAATATGAAAGACCCCGCTCCCTAAAGAAAATATTTTTCTTATTCTTGAGTAAAATATGGTCACATGATCAAAAGTTGGAAAATATTTTTCATAAAAAAATTATCAATCAAATACTCCAAAAGTAGAAATTTGGGTAGAAAAACGACAATTTTCATGAAAAACAAAGTCAATGAAACACACTCTTAATGTCGCGTGTGAAAGAGACGCTTAAGATATGAAACCGGGACATGAAACTTTGCATATCCCCAATCAAATTTCTTTGAGAATATTTAACCGCGTCCACATTTCTTGACCGCCTTTACAGTTAGAAAATTGTACCAATTGGAAAAATCGTTTATATATCAAGAAAAAAATATAAAGAAAATATTTAGATTCTTGTCCAATAGTGAACCTCATAGACCTTCCTTCACATGCAACAACTATATAAACTCCCCAAAACCCTTGTGTGGTACACATATTACATATATAATTCAGCCATCGTTCTTTCATTTTGTTTCGTACATATCGATCAACATGTCTAGAGACAGAGACCCTCTTGTTGTTGGTAGAGTTATAGGGGATGTTTTGGATCCATTTATAAGGTCCGTATCACTTGAGGTTACTTATGGTAATAGGGACGTTAATAATGGATGGGATTTCAGACCTTCTCAGATTCTTAACCCACCTAGGGTTGATATCGGAGGTGATGACCTTCGTACTTTCTACACACTCGTAAGTCTAATTTCTCCTATTGCAACTCGTTTAAGTATGTCCCAACAACTTAAGTTTTTAGATGCAGAGATTGTTAATATTGTGGTATCGGGTTAGAGGCCCTCCAAATGGTCGACACGATGGATTTCTACTTGCTGTTGGATATGTATTTTAGTTTTCATTACATTATAGCACAGTGTATTTGATCTTATCATTGTGCAGATTATGGTGGATCCCGATGCTCCAAGCCCAAGTGATCCCAACCTCAGAGAATATTTGCACTGGTGAGAAATAACTGGAGAAGTCTTGTTTTTTCTTTCTAATTATTCTTGTTTTCCTGATAAAATATCAGGACAGAACAAAATAACTAGATAGAAAGCACAATAACGTATATTACCATCTGGGTATTCGATTAAAAAATACATTTTTTTTTTTT